TTTCTAGGAGTCTGAGATATAGCATTTAGGTTGTTCAAAATCTTTCCATTTTTAATATATGCACTCATGGCTATAAACTTTCCTCTTAGGATTTCTGTATCCCATAGGTTCTGATACGTTGTATTTTCATTTTCATTGAATTCCAGGAACTTTTTTATTTCGTCCCTATTTCTTCTGTGACCCACTGATCATTGAACATTGTGTTGTTCAGCTTCCAACTGCTTGAGTATTTTCTGCTGCTGCTTTTGTTGTTGAGTTGTAGTCTTATTGCATTGTGGTCAGATAGTATGTAGGGGGTTATTTCAATTTCCTTGTGTTTGTTGAGACTTGGGTTTGTGCTCTTAGATATAATCTATTTTGGCAAAAGTTCCATGAGCTGCTGAGAAGAATGTATACTGTGCTGTTGCAAGATGGAATACTCTGTAGACATCTGTCAGTTCCATTAGATCTACAGTGTCATTTAGTTGTAGGATTTCTATGTTGAGTTTTTGTCTGGTATTAAACTCTCCCATTACCACTGTGGGGTCTAAATGGTTTTAAATCTTTAATGTATGCTTAATGAAGTTGGGTGCACTGACATTGGGTGCCTATAAGTTGATAATTGCTATTTCCTCCTGATGTATTGCTCCTTTTATTAGTATGAAGTGACCTTCTTTATCTCTTTTAATTTAAGTTTGAAGTCCACTTTATCTGATGTGTTACTACTCCTGCTTGTTTTGCCGGGCCATTAGCTTGGTAAATCATCTTCCAGCCTTCCACTCTAAGCCAGTGTTTGTTTCTGTCAATAAGGTGGGTGTCTTGCATCAAAAGATTGTCACTTCTTCCTTTTTGATCCAGTTTGCCAATCACTGTCTTTTGATGGGGGAGTTGAGTCTGTTATCATTCAGTGTTAGTATTTAGAGGTATGTGGTGATTACTGTCATTTAGTTGTTTTTGTTGTTGAAGGATTTGCGTGTGTGCAGCCAATTCAGTGCTACTCTCTGAGTGCTTGTTTGTTCTTCTCGTGAGGTTTAATACTTCCAGTCCTTTCGTGGTTGTTTGTTTTTGTCTTCCATTTGTAGGATTCCTTTCAGAATCTTCTGTAGTAGTAGCTTGGTGGTCATACATTATTTTAGTTTCTGTTTATTGTGGAAGACTTTTATTCCTCCATCAATTTTGAATGACAGTTTTGTTGGGTAGAGTATCTTAGGACTGAAATTGTTTTCATTCAGTGCTCGAAATCCATCATTCCATGCTTTTAATGTTTCAGTTGAGAAGTCTGCCGTTATTTTGATGAATTTACCTTTATATGCTATTTGTTCTTTCTCTCTTATGGCCTTCAATATTCTTTCTCTGTCCTCCGTGCTAGTTGTTTTAAAGATAATATGCTGTGAAGAGGTTCTATTTTGGTCAAGCCTGTTTGGTGTCCTGGAGGCTTCCTGTACCTGAATCGACAACTCTTTTCGAGATTTGAGAAATTTTTCTGCTATTATTTTGTTGGATATATTACATATCCATTTGGCCTCTCCACCTTCTTTGATGCCCATGATTTGCAGGTTTGGACTTTTCAGGGAGTCGCTGAGTTCTTCCATATTCCCTTTGTAGTTTTTGAATCTTCCAAGAGTTCTTCTGATTTTTCTTTAGTATCTATTTTGTCTTCAAGTCCTGAGATTCTGTCTTCTACTTGTTCTAGTCTGCTGGAGTGGCTTTCCCCTGTATTTTTTATTTGATTTAAGGAACTTTTTATTTCCAGGGTTTCTGTTTGATTCTTTTTTCTGAGGTTTTCCATATCTTTGTTAAATTCCTCTTTCATAGCTTGTGTTGTCTTATTTCATTTATCTTTTTTTTATAGTCTCCTTTGTTTCATTTTGGAGTTTATTGAAGTCCTCTCTGACTTCATTTAGCTGTTTCTGTGTCTTCTCAAGTTTTTCATTTGTGGTGCCTTGATATTTCTTGAGTGCATCTTGTACTTTCTGGTTAACCATGTCTTGTAGATTCTCCATGAGTTTCTCAGTGATCTCTTCCATAATTTCCTCTTGGGCATCACTGAACTCATTGGTGTTATTTATCATGGTTCTGTCGGAGTATTCGTTTTCTTCATTTTCCACTAAATACTCTATTGAATTGTTGGTCTTTTGGGGGGTAGGATTTCTTGGCCTCCTTCTTCTCCCCATGCTTTTATGATGTGCTGTGCTTCTATGTTGTTGAGTGACCAACTGGGGATTTTAATCACCTGTTATCTTCCCCTTGACTCAATTACTGTGCTATGACTGGCTTAGTTGTTAGCTAGGTTGATGTGATATTTCTGTTCCCTGCCTAGGGGATATAAATTAGAAATAACAAACTAACTGATCCAATGCCAGACCAGTTATTTACACAATATGTAGTGAGCCCCTTGGTGATACTGTCTATAAGCCATTGACATTGGGGGGATAACAGTCATTTGGGTAGAGGCAGACACTTAAGTATTGAAACAGCTGGTGATGGAGAAAGGGGCAGAAAGGAGGGATGGGGTGAGGTGTGTGAGGTGTGGGGATTCTAGGATACTAAGTCCCTAGTATGTGTTGAGTTGTAGTTCAGTCTTTGTGGAAGAGAGTGCTACTGTCAGGGTTGCTGAGGGATAGGAGGGATGGGATAATGTGTAAAGTTTGTATAACAGACTATTTAGTGGGTGGTGCATTTTGATGAGGTTGAGGTAGTGTGGGGAGAGAGGGGGAGGAATGGAAGGTGAGGAAGGGAAAGGAAGGAGAAGAAGATGGAAAGAGATGAGAAAGAAAAAATTGGGGTAGAGAAAGGAAAGTAGTACAATAGAGGGCTGAGTGAGTTAGTGTTAGGACAGAATGGAGGAGGGAGTTAGGTAACAGTAAGATGGAAGAAAATAAAAGTTAAAATTAAAATTAAATTAAATAAATTGATTTTATTAAAATAAAAGTTAAAATTTCAATTTTTATACAAAAATGAAATAAAAATAAAACAGAATAAAAGTAAAGTAAAATAAAAAGATATATATTATATATAATATATAACATATTTTATATATGATACATACAAAATCAGTTCAATGAATGTTCTGGACTCTTTCCTCTGAATTTAGGTTGAGGTGGTAGTGCTTTTATTTTTTTTTTATAGGGGACTGCCCCTTTTTAAGGTTAATATGTTGGACTATGTGGCAATAAGTGTTCTCTTCCCTACTGGATGGCTTTGGGGTGCCTCAGAGCTGAGTTACTTCTTTAGTGGGGATAAATAAATACTGTGTGATATAAACAATGAAAATAATTATAAGCTGTTTATCATTCAAATCGGAAGTACAATTTGCAGTAGAAATATATTTTGCTAAAGTTTTAAAAAACTGGTTCATAATTGAAGAGTAATAGGTAAAAGTGAGCAATGATAATCATAGAAAATGAAAATCCAACTCTTACTTAGGGCTTCTCCTTTTTAGTTTAAGTGGAGAAACATTAGAAAACAAGCAGTGATAGGCAAGACTTAAATAAAGAAGATGGCTGTCTCGTGCCAGTCTCAATGAGAATGTACATCACAATAACCTGGGGAACATTTTCAACATACACAGACTGCACTCCCCAACTTAGATCCATTCTAAGTTGCATGGGAGTGATGCCCACGCAAGTTTACACATCAGTGACTCCAATGATTATTTACCTAAGTAACTGTATCATAATCAACCAACAGAGATTCTCATTTCCTCTTTCAACTCTACCACCATTGTCATGACCATCACCACCACAAAACCGTAATCATTAACTGTTTTTGATAAATTCTACCAAAGAAAATATTCTTACTATATTAAAGAGCTCACTTAACAGAAGAAACAGAAATTCTGATGACAAGAAAGAAGAATGAAACAAAATGATTTTAATAATCAAAGAAAACAGCACTAAGCAGCTAGAAGGCTCATAACTAAAAAGGGAAATGGGAGAACCCTGACATAATAAAACTTTGATTACCCCCTAGGTTTTCCTTAGTGTCTAATATTAAAGGAAACCAGGTCAAAGACAAGACTGTCACCAATAATCATCAGAATCATTTATAGTGGTCTATATATCAATGTTTTTTTAAACATTATAATGACAATTTTACTTTATGCAAAATACTGTCACAGATTTGAACAATTTATTTACATTGAAATAGGCTGTCACAGCTGGGTGCTGGCAGTACATGCCTGTAATCCTAGCTACTCAGGAGGCAGAGATCAGGAGGATCATGGTTCAAAGCCAGCCCTGCCAAATAGTTTAAGAGATCCTATCTCGAAAAAACCCATCACAAAAAAGGGCTGGTGGAATGGCTCAATGTGAAGCACAATTTTGTAACAGATAATTTCTCATGGATTCACTATACTTTGTTTTATTTTTTGAGGCAGGTCTCACCATGTAGCCCAGGCTGGCCTAGAATTCACAATCTTCCTACGTCTGCCTCTCAAGTGCTAGGATTACAGATGTACACCACCATGCCTGGCTTTGCTATGTTTTCTTTTTAACAAGAATGAATGATGGCAGGGGAGAACTAGCAGAATCACATAGCTATTTCTTTTACACTTTTGTTATAGAATAAATTACAGGTTACAAAGAAGTGAAAAAACACTAAAAGAAAGAAAGCTAAAAACAAACAAAAGGGAATAAAATATTTACATATGCTCATGAAAAAATGCAACGAGAAAAAACGTTTCTAGTAATTTCCTATCCTTTTCCTTAATTTGTCTAGATTTTATTGGTTTCTTTACAAGAATACTTATGAGGAGAATAAAAATGTAAATCTGAGATAGATCTAAGAACAAATTATAGGAAAAATTTCCCAACTTAGTTTCTGTTTGACAAAGACAACTTGTTCTTTATAGCAGTTAAGAAACTTAACTGACAGCAGCCACAAAGCTGGCTGGGGTTTCTTAATTTTTTTGTTTGGGTTTAGGGTATTTTTTTAGGTATTCCACTCTTAACAGTACATATTTTTAGTTTCATTCCTTAATATCATAGAAGGCAAAACAAAATGCTTTAAATGTAACTTACTTTTATGACTTTCATATATCCAAAGTTGTGTCTGCTTTTGTGTTTTTACAACATCAAATGGTAAAGTTACAATAGCTGCAAACTGTTAAAAAGTAAAATTGATTAATTTAAATCCACCTTTAATTTTTCCTAAAGTATTTTTAAAGTCTTCTAATTAGCACTAGTTAACAAGGATGATAATGAAAATCATAATTAAGTTGAAGTTTAAAACAAAACAGATATATTTAAATAAAAGTTTCTAGTAAGGTAAATAAATGTCTTGTATATTTTGCATAAATCTCAGAAACAGTTTCAGGAAACAAATCCCTTACTCCCTGAGATCATGCAGCTGCTATGGCAGAGCCTCAGAGCCCTCTGACTTCAAAGCCAGTATTAACAGCTTGTGATGCTCCTATGGGTTCCACTACGATCTTTCTTCAGATAACAGTGTAACACTTATCTTAAGGCAGAAGTTCCCCAATATGTAGTAAGCATTTAAATTTATCCAGCAAAATGTTTTAAAAATAGAATAAAAAATTAAATCTAAGTAAATACAGAAAATAGACTTTTGAGCTTTTAGCTCTATATACCTTTTCTTAATAGATCTGAAAATATACAATTATAGTGGCTCAAAACTCACATTTAAAAAAACACCTTTCTCAAGATCATTCAACTTAATAATTATTTCCATAATACCTTGGCTAAGGGAGGGGTTTTTTTTTAAAGATGTAATTCCTTTAAGAATAGTCTCATATCTGATACAATAAAATAAAACCTGGTCTCTATTTTTTGCTTCCCAACTGACACTTGGGCCAATATGACCATAAAATGCTCCTTAAAAAATCACATACATTTTATTTCACCCCAATTTATTGATTTAAGTTCTTGAAATCAGTTTCAAGGATTACAGGTAAGATAAAATCAATTATTGTTATTCTATATTATTATATATACCTAACACTCTATTTTTTAAATTCATTTATTCATATGTGCATACACTGTTTGGGCCATTTCTCCCCCTCCCCCCCTCCACTCCACACCCGCCCCCGACACTCTAAATGATATAGTTTATTTATACTGTTCTGTTTCCTGACAAAAAGCCTTGACACTATTACATGCATGTACTTTTTTCTGTTGCAGAGACAAATCTTTACTTGAAAACTGTCAAAAGGCAACAACATTTTCTAGAGCATTAAAAAAATTGAAGATAGCTTTCTATGTTAAACAGTAATAGTAAAATATAGAAGTTTACTTAATATTACTGTACAGTTGATAGAACATCTTAAAAACATTACTCAACAATACTAATTCCTTTTCAGGCTCAATGGGTTTATATAGGGTTAATTTGACAGATCATAGACCTGAGAATATTCATGTCTAAATTTTGAACCCAACAGCAGTGGCATCCTTAGCCTAAGGGTTCTATTAGTCCAGTACTTTTCTACATCTTCCCATCATGTCACTCAGCCGCTTAAGTCTTGTTTTTTTGTTTTTTTAATCAGGATCTCACTATGTAGCCCAGGCTGGCCTTGAACTCTTGATCCTCCAAGTGCTAGAATTATAGATATATGCCACTCTGTCCAGCTTTTTAAGTCTTGTTTTTATGTGGTTATAGTAAGTCAGTATCATGCTGTAAGTTATCACAAAATAGTAGAAGTACTGGATTAAAACTCTTCATAATGAAGGTCATTGTGGTATGAATTTGCTTTAAAAAAAAAATCTACTGCATGGCTTTCCATTATATGGAAGGGTGAACTTTCTACTACGCAAAAAGGTCGTATGAGGTTCTTCCCTTCTGGTTGTACTTTGTCTTGAAATTCTTTTAAGAAGTACTCAGCCAATATAATTCTAAAGAAACAGTAACTAATAGTAGGGGATAGAACTGCTTCTATTTAATTCAATTACAAATATGGAATAAATCTCCACAAAATATTATATAGTCATATCTACTAACATTTATTGAACCAACATACTATAAAATATTCTAAAATAGTAAAGTGCCATTTCAAGTATAATCATGATTATAACTGTAATGATATAACAAGTCCAAAAATTGCTTTAAAGATATAATAATGCATTTAAAATAATAACATCAACAAAACATACTTAAACTACTTTAATGGCTAATAATTTATTTTCCTAAAATAGGATAACAAATACTTAAACATGTTTTAAAGTGGTACAGCTCAAAAAAATGTTCTCTCAATATACGTGAAATGATGTATGTTCTGTTTTAATACAACCCCCATCATTTTGCTTGAATATTAACAACAAAAGAATAAACTTACAGAACCAGACAATGCCCCTGAAGTAAAGTTGATCATAAATGTCGGTTCATATAAACCAGATTTCTCACACAACCACTTCTTTAAAATTTCATAGTTATACCAGTACATTGCTAGAAAAACAGAGAATGAAATGAGCACATATTTAGAAATAAAATGTGGACTTTAAAGAATGAAATCATAAGCAAAGGAAAAGAGAAATTCTAACCTTGACATACTTTGCTTTCTGCTTAAAATAGGTAGGATTTCAAGAGAGGGATTGAAATTCTCAATATTCTAGCAGTTTTATAAACAAAGCAAGTCAAAAACAAAAGCAAAAACAACAATCCCCACAACACTACGCATCAGTAATGTAGGACTGTAATTCCAAAACCCAACAAGGGCAAATAGGAGAAAGGAAAAATTAAAGATCAATCTATTAATGAATAAGTGTAAACATCCTTTAAAAAAAATAGGCAAACTGAAGAAAAAAGCGTTTCATAAGACTGTACACTATGATGAGGTTGGGATATCCCAGAAAGGTGGTTAATACAATAAAATATTATATACCACATTAACAAAACCATGGTATAACCTAATGATGATGAAAAAGCATTTGATAAACTGTAACACTTCCATTAAAAGTAAACAAACTTGGTGGGAATCTAGACATAAAAAGGAGCATCTTTAACTTGACAAAAGGTACACATCAAAAACATACAGCAAAGGGGGTGGGGGCAGGGGGGAGAAATAAACCAAGCCTTGTATGCACATATGAATAATAAAAGAAAAATGAAAAAAAAAAAAAAAGTGCAACAGTCTCCAATAATGAGGCAAACAAGAATGATACTTTTCCTTTGCATTTGAGTAAAGGTTTGTGGGAATAAAAAAATTTATGTTCTCTGCCATAAAAAAAAAAAAAAAAAAAAAAACATACAGCAAAAATTATTAATGTTGAAACATCATAACTGTTTCCTTTACAAGGTGAGAAAATGATAGGGATGCTTCTTACGACTATTCAAAACTGCACTAGCACTAGTCAGGAAGAAAGAAAAAATAAACTATGATGATTAAAAATAAAAATATGAAGGTTATTATATGTATACATACACACACACACACACACACACACACACAAAGTCTAGATAGAAACCTGAAAGATATTTACGCAAGTTAGAATTTAAAACAGAGATTTAAAGGTAGTTAGACAAGGACTCCTACCCCTGAGCTACATTCTCAGCCCAGGGAAAACATTAAAACAACAAAAAATCAAGTACATTCCCAGCCCAGAGAAAACGCTTCAAAAAAAAAAAAAAATCAAGTAAATGATAAAAATTCAGTATGGTGACCGGGCGCTGTTGGCTCATGCCTATAATCCTACCTACTCAGGAGGTAGAGATCAGGAGGATCGTGGTTTGAAGCCAGCCCAGGAAAATAGTTCCACAAGACTTTATCTCGAAAAACCCTTCACAAAAATAGAGCTGATGGAGTGGCTCAAGATGAAGGCCCCAAGTTCAAGGCCTTCAGTTTGGTGGTAACTATTATGGATGTCACAGTGAAAAGAGAATTTATGTGGCTTCATGATTGAAAAAACTACAATCTTGACGTTCATATATTAAAGTAGTAAGTTCACAGGTATTCATTTTGTTAGCATACTTCATAACATGCCTATGCTTTTTTCATACCAAATTCATTTAAGAAGTAAAGAAAACAGAATTGGCATAGGAATCCATGATTAGTTATGTATGTTATGTTTCTAAGCAGCATTACCACCTATTTTATTTATTTATTTTTTGCAGTACAGGGGCTTGAACTCAGGGCTTCACCTTGAGCCACTCCACCAGCCCTATTTTTGTGAAGCGTTTTTTGACATAGGGTCTTGTGAACTATTTGTCCAGGCTGGCTTAGAACCACGATCCTCCTGATACCTGCCTCCTGAGTAGCTAGGATTACAGGCTTGAGCCACCGGCACCAGCTGCTATTTGATTTATAATACTCTTTTACAGGATACTCACTTAATGAGATGTTTATTTTTAATAATTGAAAAAGTAGGAGTCCAAATAATTCAAAGGTAGTCTTAAATGGATTATATAATACTTGGATTTGCAGTAGTTTACTTACCTTAATGACTTATCAATGTCAAAGGTACTTTGTATTTTCTGAATATGAATACCCACCACCACAAATTAATGTTTAAAAGGAAATCAAACAGAAAGAGAAAAAAAATAAACCAGGCCTGAATTAGAAACTGCTCCTTCACTATAGGCTTGTGAAGATCTGAAAGCCCAACAGCAAATTAGAAATTTGTACTCACTTCAGAAAATAACTTACCTTTAACCATAAAGGGTTTAAAGTCTAGTAAAAGTAATACATGAATAAGATAATGCTACCTAACATTTAGCTGATACTAGAAAGACAAATCCTACCTGAGAAAGGTACATCTCTAAGAACAGTCGGAGCCCAGCCCTTCCAAAGGGAAATCCAACCATCTTCTGACACTTTCTTGCTGACAAATCGATGTAGTTCCTTGTAAGAAAACTTCTTGGATTGCATCTTGGTTCTAATCAATTCTAATGGGCTTATCATAGTTACTGCACCAACTAATATAAACAACAACACCAAAAATGTAACATGCAAATATTCATGCAAAAATTAGTATTTCACTTGTTTTATGATATTTTAACCTGTTATTCTGAAATGTCTAGAAAACTTAGAATCAAATGTCTAATGATGTTAACATACTGGCAAATTTTTTTCCTTGATAAATATGTATCTATTTTCATATTCCATTTTCTGGCTTCAACTCTTTCAAGGCAGAATTACAAATGTTACAGTCAAGTACAACTACTATAAACCCAGCTAGGGCCCCCAAATAAACTTCACTCTCATTACACTGAGAAAAACATTCCTCTGCATAGAGACAAATCTCATTCTGACTAAGCTCTGAATCCCAAAGCTCATAAGGAAAATGATTCAAACTTTTGGCTTGAATCATATATAGACCCAGATGACTCCTTGTAAGTTTTAGGTAAATAAGAACTAATTCTAACATTACTCTAAAAACTGTCCAAGATTCAACCAAGATAGACCAATCCCATCTCATTCTGATGACAACCACCATATCATATAATTTCTGGAGTATAAATATTAACAAATTAGTACAAACCAGAATGCAAAATATAACTTACTGACAGTCCATACACTACACAAATTCTCTGTATCTAAATTTACAGATGTCCTTAACACAAATAAAAATGAAATATAAGTTTATTACTTACATCTGGCCATAATTCCAGCAACAATTGGTATTCGGGTTTCATTTTCTCCTAATTTAGATCTCAGGAGAGCAGTTAATTGTTCATAGCATGTAAAATAAATAACTGTGGCAGGAACTGCCATCACTCTGTTAAAAACACACAAAAAGATTTGCTCAGAATTATCAAAAAGTCTTACAAAAACTATTAAATTAGATCCAAATATTATGATAAATGTAAAAAAAAAACCCTCTTATTTTGGGTGAGTGAAAAATTACAACAAACCAGACCATGTGATAACTTTTTATTTATTTAAAAAAGTATCAGTACTTAACTTAGTAAGCCCTAGAAAGATGTAAAATAGGTACCTGTCCCCTCAAAAATTTCATTCTAGCTGTGAAGATAAGTTATAATATGTAGCATTAAGTAAATGCTATGTAAGATAGGTTACAATATGTAGCAATAAATAAGTGTCCTGCAATCAAACTCAGATCACATAAACTTTACAATAGTAGGTCATAAGTATGAAAAGACGTATTGGTACACTTCCTTGACTTTTTCATCTGTTTCTGGTCTCCCATATCTGCCTCCCCAAATAATGTTTACCTATAATATGAGAACACAATAAAAAGTTCATGAACAAGTATAAAACATTTTTAGCTACAGATCTTATATCACACCACTCGTAACTAAAAATAAGGTACAATTCACATTGTTTTGAGGGAATTCTAGTAATATACTCTTTTAAATGGAAACATTAAGAGGGAATTATTAAATTCAAAGTTGCTGGCACTGTCATATCATAAATATTAATGCAAAAAGAAATAATTTTATATTTATAGTCTAACTACAGAACATTCACAGATCATAGTTTGAATGCTTAATATTCTAACAGGAACTTTGATGCTGAAAATTTACAAGTACAACTACGAATGAATGTGTCTTAGAACTGCCAGTAACTTTATAATCTTAGGCATTAAAATATACCTCAAAATTGACTGATTTCCTGCATATAAAGGAAAGAGGAACTTCTTAGAAACAAATGAAGCAGAGAAAGTCAAAGTGTTTGGAATTTCTATATTCAGCCTTACTAATCATATTAATTCATTTAACTGAAGTTAGTAGAGTCAGAATTGTCTGGAGAAGGGATATATACTTACCACAATATACTTCACTGTTTCAGTACAATAAAGTTAAATACCAAATTCTTTACTTCAGAACATGAAAAAATTATGCTTCTGCAGTGAAGATAACACAGTAGGCCTGGGTGCATAAGTCTTCTATAATGTCTTTAGGAAGACCTGTCTCCATGCTGATGTTTGGCCAAATTATGGGCATTTAGTCACTGGAACATTCCCTGTAATAGTGCTCTAGGTACGTCTGAGGCAACAAACCACCTGCCTAGGTTGATTTGTGCAAATGGTGTGATTTATGGTAAAAACTACTTTCCTTTTAAGAGTATGAAGTTTTATCAATTACAGCTAGCTACAAGCAGAATGTTCCTGTACAACCAACATCCAATAAAAGATGTACACTCTGAAACTCAACTGGGTTTACCAAGGCAGAAACACTTTACACAGTTTAGAGTTAGCTGTTGGAAGAGTCGTTACATCCTGTGTGATACCATGAGAGAGGACTTTGGCAGTCTATATGTGGTCGTCTCCTGTTGTGTCTTTTTCCATTACCAATTCTGCTTTGTATCCTTTAGCTATAATAAACCATATCCATGAATATAGCCCTATTTAGGTTCTGTGAGTCTGCCAGCACATCAGCAATAGTTGCAGGACTCACAAAACAATGCTTCAGAAAGCGAACGTTCTAATATTAAAAATGCAAGACTTTCTCCAACCATGCTGATTATAAAACAAAACAATCATCGCTTAGAAGGAAAAAAAATGTTAAATTTCAACTTACAGAGTAGGAGGAAGGCCACTCCACAAGGATTTAATACCCTCATTTCGAATGATTTTTAAAAAGGCATCCTAAAATTATAATAGAAAATAGTATTTCTATGTAACAGAAAATTATCAAAATATATCCTTTAACTTGATAATTTCATTCTTTTATACTTTTGTTTATAAAATATAAGATATTTAGATACATTAGGTATATATTTTTTTTATTCTTACAGAAAAAAGTCTTTATTACTTGGCCCTAGATTGTTCTACTCAACTCTATTTTAAAACCTTTCAAAAGATTATTTTTTAAAAAGTAGACAGAATTCATCAGATAAATTCTCCCAACCAAGTATGAAATCTAACAAAGCATCATTAAAGCCAGCATTTTGAAATCTCTGGACAGAACAAAAGCAGGCAGAAGCTTAAGAGAAGTCTGTTATTAATAGATAAGCTTTTGCAATTTAATAATAAAAAGACCTAAAAATTGGCAAAAGACTAGAACAGACACTTTTCCAAAGATGATACACAAATGGTCAATAAGCACATGAGAAAAAAAAAGGTTCAGTATCATTGATCATTATGGAAATGCAAAGCAGAACCAAAATTAGATACTACTTCATACCTACTAGGTAGACTAAAATAAAAAAAAGGACAACAAGCTAGATGTGATAGTGCACACCTGTAATCTCAGCTACTTGGGAGGCTGAGGCAGGAGAATTGAGAGTTTGAGGCCAGCTATACAACACAGTGAGACCCTACCTCAAAAATAAATAAGTAAGTAAGTAAAGACAGATGACAAGAAGTACTAATGAGAATGTAGAGAAACTGGAAACCTCATATATTGCTGGTGGGAATGTAAAATGGGATGGCCACTTTGGAAAACAGTCTGACGATTTCTCAAAAGATTAAACATAGAGATACTATACGACCCAACAATCACAATTCTAAAAACATATTCAAGAGAAACTAAAACACGTGTTCACGCAAAAAGATGAATGCTCATAGCAGCATTATTCATTCCTAAAATTAGAAATAACCCAAATTTCCATCAAATGATAGATGTATAAATACAATATGGTATATTCATAAAATGGCATACAATTTGAGAATAAAAAGAAATAAAATACTGATGTTTGCCACAAGATTGATGAGTCTTAAAACATGCTAAGAAGCCTGTCACAAAGGACTGCATGTTTTCCTAGGAAAAGGGAAGCTTAGTGATACACTGAAGTTTTAATATGACAAATGCTCTATTCTAATACCACAGAAAAACAAAAACCTGTGGTACCAGCCAGACCCACGCCAACAAAAGGCCAGGTAGGTAGCCTTCACAGGTACCCTAATAAGGCTGCGATGAGGCACTATTAACACCTTCATGGGGTGGTGTTACAGAAGATCAATGGGGAGCTGAAACTTTTATCCCTACCAGTAATCAGTAATAAGTGGTATTTGGCTAGAGTAGAGCAGTTTGTCATTTTAAAACTTAAAAATATGTACAAGGATACTACAGATCAAAATGGAATTCTAAGAAGCATAACACAGAGGAAGGCAAGAAAAATAATAAGAAGAAAACAGAACAAAGAGAAAAGAAAGAGTAGATGTAAGTTTTCATCTATCTAAAATTGCATTAATATAATTAATCTGTATCAATTAAAAGATGAAAACTGACAGTAAATTTAAAACATGACTCAATTATATGCTACTTATAAAAAATTCACTTATTTAATCATGATATAGGCAAGTTAAAAATGCACTAGAAACTCAACATAGTAAGCTCATCATTTCTCTCTAAATTGATATACAAATTTAACTTAATCCCTATAAAATGCTTAGCAAGATTTCTTACATATAAATAAGATTATGCTAAAATTATGGAGAAGCAAAGAAACTTTGGGAACAGCTAAAACAACTTTGGAAAAGAAATACATGAATAAAGTGAGATGGCTAGGGATGTGACTCAGTGATAGAGCCCTTGTGTAGTATGTACGAGATCATGGGTTCTATCCCCAGCTATTAAAAAATTGTATCAAACATAAAAAAAGGAAATGGGAGAATCAATTTACCTGATTTGAAGTTATTATATACCTGCAGTAATAAAGACTGTGATACTGACAGAGTGATAGACACACAGAATTAGAGAACCCAGAAATAGATACTCTCTAGGATGTCCAACCGTTTTTTTAAAAACAACTTAATGGAGTAAAGATAACCTTTTCAACCAAAGCAGCTGAACATCCATAGGTGAGAAGGAATAACAACAAACCTCAACCTTGGTCTCCTACTTTATATAAAAATAACTCAAAATGGATCAAGGACTTAAATGTAACATCAGGCTATAAAATCTTTAGAAAAAAGCATAGAAGAAAATCTTCAGAATCTGAACTTGGTAAAGAGTTCTTAGAATGGACACCAAAAGTATGATCTATAAAAGGAAAAACTGATGAATTGGGTTTCATCAAAATTAAAAATTTTTATTCCACGAAAGTCCATGTTTAAGAGAATGAAAAGACAAGTTACAGTGAGAAAGAATATTTGCAAACCACATACCCAAGAAAGGACGAGTATCTAGAATACGTAAAAACAGTCAAAAAGAGTAAAAATACTAACAACGTTAAGAGCTATTTCGCTGAGAGGGATATGACAGCATGTAAGATGATCAAAATCATTGGCCATCATTAGAGACACAAATTAAAACTACAATGAGATATTGCTATGTGTCTATCGTAATTGCTAAAATAAATATAGTGCCCGATGTGGTGGCTAACACCTATATTTCTAACACCTCAGAGGCTGAGGCACGCAGACTGGAAGTTTGAGGCCATCCTGGTCTATACAGTGAAATCCGGTCTCTAAATAAAAAAATAAATAAACAAAATAAAAATAGTGACAACACCACATGCTAGTGAAAAAGCAGGGAAATTCATTCATACATGACAAGAATGTCATGTTTAGAAAATAGGTTGGCAGTCTCTTAAGCTCTCAACAATGCACTTCCCATGTTCACTCAGCAAATGGCACTCCTTTATCCCAAAGGGATGAAAACTTCCTTTAACACAAAAAAACTGTAAAGAAATGTTTGTAACAATTTTTATTCACAATAGCTAAAAACTGGAAACACTGCTCAAAAACAAACTGTAGCACATCTGTACCATGGGATCCATGCAACAACCTGAATGAATCTCCAGATAATTATGCTAAGTGTGGTGATGTATGCCTGTAATCCCACCACTCAGGAAGCAAAGGCAGGAGGATGGAGGGATCAAGGCCAGCATGAACTACATCGAGAGTTCTAGGCCAGCCTGGGCTGCATTGAGAGACTATTTCCAGAAAAAAAAAAAAAAAAAAACTTGGGCGTAGTGGCTTCACCTGCAATTCCAGCCACTAGGGAGCTGAGATTAGGAAGATAATGGCTTGAGACCTTTTTGCCCTGGCAAAAAGATAGTGAGGCCCCCCCAACTAATATACAAATATGCCAAGTATGGTGGTTCATGCATAGAATCCCAGGTAGGAGGATTGTGGTATCAGATGATCCCAGGCAAAAAGTAAGACCCTATCTAAAAAATAAACTAGAAGCCAAAAGGGCTGGAGCTGTGACTTAAGTGGCAAAGTGCTTGTCTAGCAAGTTCAAGACTTGAGTTTAAACCCCAGTACACACACACACACACACACACACACACACACACACCCAAAGGTTATATATGCTATGATTCTATTTATATAGCACTTTTGAAATGACAAAATTTTATAAATTCAGAACAGATTAGTAACTGCTAGGGGTTAAGGAGTAGGTAAGAGGATAATGAGTGTAACTCTAAAAGAAACAGAAAGAACTTTATAGTGATGGAATTATTCTTTCTTTTTAAATTATATCAATGTCCACATCCTGGTTGTAACCTCTATTAATTTTGTAAGATTTTATTCCCACTGGGTTAACACTGGGAAAAGCATATATGAGATGTTCAAATATTTTTCTTAAAATTACATGTGATCTAAAATTATCTCAAAACAAAAATAATTTTAAAAAGTGACCCCCTTCTTTCTTTTACATAAAAAGCATGAACCAATGAAAGCTAACAAAGACCTAAAAGAAAAACTTTTCTTTTTCTGCTTTCAAATGATGAACTTTTTACTTCTCTACAATCAGAAAATCTTTCATATGTAAGAGTAAACAGAAAAACAGAAAATATACTGTGATTCTCCTTACCAGTGTTCCCTGGAAATTCCCTGGCTTCTTATACCATGCTTTGTTGCCCCCATCTTCACAGACACACATATGATCCATGAGTCCATTACTATATACAAAACATTTTCCTAACAAAAAAAGATTCCAATAGTCAATAAGTATTTCACATAATTATTATTTTCACAGAAAAACAAGTTGAAGTGTGACGAGGAGACTAGAAAAATGGGGAAAAAGAAAATAACTATCTCTGCTTTCTAGGATGAAACATATGTAAATTAATTCAATCTGCTTAATGATTTGACTGTGGGTGCTAAACTCAAGAGTTGTGAAAAGTAATGGAGTAAATCAGTAAATGTTATATTTCAGAACTTTAGTAAGAAAATGAACACAGAAAATCTTTTAGGTTATCTGAGAGAATGGAAATGGCAGATGTGGAAGAAAGCCTGCTTTGGGAAGACAACATGGAGGCATGTCTTTCCTACTTGGCCAGAAGAAAACTGTATTGCAAGGGAAATTTAGGCAAAAATGGATTATAGAGAATAAATGTTCATCTCAATGTAAATAATGCTAAACTTTTTCCCTTTCTCTGTATTTGTACTATTCAGTCCAGCCATCTGTCAGCTCCTTTTCAACTTACTACAACTCTTACCAATATCAACTCATTTATCAGATTTTTTTTTTTTCAGTACTAGGGTTTGAAATCAGGTCCTCATGCTTCCTAAGCAAGTGCTCTACCACTTGAGTCATGACCCCAGCTAGATTCACTCTTGCCACCAAAAGTGTCTTCTCTTTCAGTTATACATAATTCTGTTTTATAACGTATTAGCCTGAGCATCTACTTTTGCTTTTAAGGCTTTCTTTAATGTATAAGAAATTACCTTTTTTAGTCTCTTCCTACAATTCATCTATCCTTTTGTTCTTCTGAAATATAACTTGTTTGTTCCATGTCATTGCCATGCATTCAAAAGGGAGCATTTGTATGGGCCAATTTTGTCAAAGTCTAGTCTATTCTCTGATATTTAAGCACATTTTGTTTTGTTTTGTTACAGTGATAGAGATGGAACCCAGGACCTTGGGAATGCTAGCCAAGTACTGTAGCACTAAGCTACATCCCCAGCCCTTTAAGTACTTTTGAAGTGCCACTATCTTTTAATAAAGCTTTAAAAGAATGAGCATAGAATTGGTGTTCTTAGGCAACTTTAAAAAATATATAATTACTTTTTTAAAATTCCACCTAAACTACTGTCCAGCAATAAATCAACTTATTCAGTAATGAATTTCCAATCACTACAGTAATCATCTAGTGATTGGAAATGAATGTTCTAAAATTGGCATAAGACTTAAGACAAAGGAGGAAGTTAGACTCTAAGATCTCTTAGTACTATAATTCTTGTTTTGTTTTTTTTTTTTTGGTGGGACTGGCATTGAACTCAGGGTTTCATTCTTGCAAAGCTGGTACTCTACAGCATGAGCTACACCTCCAGATCATTTTGTTCTAATTATTTGGATATGGGGTCTTGCAAACTGTTTTCCACGGCTGGCCTCAAAATGAGATTCGCTGGAGTAGCTAGGACTACAGGTGTGAGCCACTGGCACCCAGCCTATTATTCTGTTCTTATTTGAGAAACACATATTAAAATATAAAATCATTCTCTGCCTTATTTAGTAGATCCATAAAAGTGTTTGATATTATAAATAAATACATACACACACATACCTGCCTGTACTTCATCATGTATAATCAAATGGTAAAAAGACATTTCTGCATGGAGCATCAATTTTAACAAACTAACAAAAGAATATTATTCAGACAAAAATGAGTGTAGTAACCTATCAATATCTAACATGACATTTTTAGGATAACTAACACACATACCTTTTGGGAATGGGTTGTTCTGGGCTTGGAGTCGAATTTTAACAACATCTAGAGGTGTCACTATGAATAAGTAAGTTTTAATTAACAAGTGATACCTGTAAATTGTATAGAAATTTCTCAAAAAAACCCCACAAAATACATTAGTTCATACTTTTCCTCATGGCTACATAATGAGTAATACTATTTATCTTACAAGTAGTCATGAATGTATGCTCTACCACTGAGCTATACTCCTAGCCCTTGAATGTAGCATTCTAATTTTTTGGTTTTAAATTTTGTTTAAAGAAGATTAGTGAAAAGATAGAATGTAATAACTTCTCTCCTAAGTAGTAAATATTCATTTATAATTATAGCTAGAACTACAGTTCCATTAGGATAAAAACTAAAAAACTAGTGTTTATAAGAGAATGTATAAATGTTTCATTTATATTATATTTATATACATATATATTTGTAAATATGTAAAGGAATGAAAGTTCTAAAAGCCTAAAGATTTAAGAATAAATTTTACTATAATTAATAACTAAACAATATTAGTCTTCCTAATCTCTTAAATAAAGATATTTACTTATAAATAAAGAATATGTATCAAACAAATCTATAGGAAATGAAAATCTGAGCAGGCTAGCCATAAATCATTTTTGGCATTAGCTTATCTCATTCCATTTTGGATTAGCATAGCAAAAGCAATTGTTTTAATTTGCATGCTTTATTTTATCCAAGTAGGAAAAAAATGACAAATAGTGGTTCCAAGAAAACTCTCATCTAAGAATAAAGTCACATTACATAATTTCTAGGGCTTTTATGACACTAAAATTCTGTTCTGAAGATGCATCAAAAGCAATTAGTTCACTTGTTCTACTCATTTGTTATCTTAGTTAAATAAACTAAACTTAAAATCATTACAAATGATAAACTGTTACCTATGCCATTTGGCAGCTTGTAAGAAACTCACTACAAGAAAAAGAAAAAATGTGACCAAGACTTACAAAAATTCACTGTTAATACAAAGTAAGATAATTGTTTTGTGGCGTTCATAAATTGCCCAAGTTGTTTTATTCAATATGCAAATATTTTACTTCATCTTATTGCTCTTTAAGAGGTAAATCATAAAAGTCTAATGTTGATAGGAACCTCCAGGAACTCTTCTTTTATACCCCTAACGTTCAATGAAGCTCAGAGAGAAGTAGGTACTATCCCCAACTATATTAACCTGAGAATGTCAGAACAAGGACTAAAATTAAAGACTCTTGATTTTCTGTGTCCAGAGTTCCTTTCATATTATCAGGAATGCTAGCATCATACATGATAATGATACACTATTACTTATCATAATGCATATCATTATTTCAAAAATAATTCTAATAAAATCACTGATTCAAAGTTATATAATCTACATCAGTAACATAACTTTACCCATTAGTGATGTCAATATAGCTCCAGTACAAGAGGCAAGCATTTGCTGTAGAGGTGTCACTTTGATAATCTGTGGGCACTCTGTTTCAGGATCCATATTTTTAACTAATTGAAGAAAAATCTGTAAAAGAAAAACAAAACGTAAGTTTAATGGCAAATACCTTCAAAACTACTGCTAAAGTAAAATTACAAAAAAAATAACCAGGGGCTGGGGTTGTAGTTTAGTGATAGAGAGCTTGTCCAGTATATACGATGTCCTGGGTTTGATTCCCAGAATTTATACCAGAGCATATTTTTGACCAGTAAATAGGTAAGTTTTTTAAACAAAGACTACTATACAAGTGTCATTAATAGAACATGGCCTCTGAGCTTCCAAAAATGGTAATGGACTTCAGAAAAGCTTGCATGAACAGCGTATTTGTAAGATAAAGTTAAGGAAACAGTCTTTGACTAACTGTCAGAATGAAAGCAGGTGACTGATCTGTAATTTCATAAATTCTATAAATTTAGCTTCATAAACACTACTCAGATACCTTCTATAATCTAGTATATGGACCCTGTCTCCAAAACAAAACAAAAAACACTAGCAAGGGTATTAGCTGACCAAATGTCGATGCATATCTGTGTGTATGTACACACAAATTATATCTAACTAAATACATTAATCAAACACATACACACATTGATTTATCTGTGTAAAACCCCTTTATAAAAAAAACCAATTAGTGCTATTTATGCTAATGTAGTATCCAGCTTTGACACTTACAAATATATTACATTGTGTTAATATGGACTTACATCATTTATAATGCTTGGACAGTGTTTAATTATAATTATATTTAAACAGCCTCATCTTTTATATACTTACATTGTTATCAATTTCTTAATGGTAAAACATTCTGGTATAATATTGCTAGGTCTTTTTGTAGTCGTCCTAAAATTACCCTAGGAGAGAAAGTGATTGTTGGGTCAAACTATCTAAAAGCAGGATACAAAGCTGGGCATGATGGTACATGCCTATAATTCCAGCATCTTGAGACAGTAGGATTGAGAGTTCCAAGCCATTTAGAACTTTGAGAACCTGTCTCAAAAACAAACAAAACATACAACAACAAGAAAACTTGATATGAATTGCCAATATCCTCTCTAGAAAGATTAGATCAAATTATACATTCAGTGACAGCATGAGTTCCTGCTGATCAACATGATCACCAAACCCCATGTGTCACATTACATATAATTTATTTTCCCTGGACCATTCAAAATTAATCGTATATATCATGCTCCTTCAGCCTAAATACGTCAGCAGATATTCCCATATGATCATAGTACAGCTAGCAAATTCAGAAAAGTTAATTTTGACACAATATAGTTTATATTCTAGTTTTGTCAACTGCATCAATGTCTTTTATTAGTATGAATGGTAACCTTTGTTTCTTTAGACTTTTATTACTTACCTCCCTGGTTTAAGCCTTTTCCTCAATTCTATGTTGCAATATTTTACTATTTGTAACCTCAGTAGCTGAAAACCTATAATGACATTTTAAAAAGTCACTGCCTTATCTTTTCACATAGGAAATAGATAATCAGCCTAAAGGAAAGGAGAACATAAAAACTTTAAGATACAAAGCAAGGTCTGGTAGAGTGGCTCATGTGGTAGTGTGCCATGAGTTCAAACCCCAGTGCTGCCAAAAAAAAAAAAAAAAGATATACATCAATAAATGTTTATTAGTTATCTTTTTTCTCATACAGGTTCTCAAACCTGTGACTCTCCTGTCTCAGCCTCACTAGTGTTGGGATTATAGGCATGGACTCTCATGTGTAGATCTATTAAATGTTTTGATATGAAGAACACTGCACAAATGCAAGCATAAAAGTTATCAAAAAATGTTCACGAAAATTTCATGTTATTCTAGTTAATATACCCATCTTTAAAAACAAACAATTCTAGAACCTGAACATAGTGATCAACCTTAACATCATTTATAGTGTAATGGTTACATCTTCTAACACAAAATTAAAGACCCAGCATCATCTATGAAGCATATTTTGATTAAAAAAAAAAAAGCTCCTCCAAACTGAATTTCAACAAGCTTTAATCTTTCAATTCACGGAAAATTCAAATATTGGAGAAACAAGGTGACAGATGTGACAAAACTGCAGAAGTTGTAAATTCTAGGCTGCAGGATTGTTGACTTGATTTATTCAAGACACAAAAAGATGTGGGAAAAAAAAAGAGAAAGGACAACTCTTTTAAATTAATTTTAAGAGAATCAATAACCAAAAGCTTCCTGGTTCAACCAACCAAAATTGTTTAAACAGTTTGAGGGTACCTAGAGAAGTCTGTTAACATTAAGTGTTAGTACTGATAGGTATGTGGTGATTCCTGTCATTTAGTTGTCTTAGTTGTTTGAAGGTTTGATTGTGTGTACCTAAGTTGAGGTTACTCTCTACTTTCTTGCTTTTTCTTTTCCTGTGGTTTTGTGCTACCTGTCCTTTCATGCTTATGTTGGGTCTTACTTTCTTTGTGCATAATCCCTTGAAGAATCTTTTGTAGTGGTGGCTTTGTGATCACATATTGTTTTAGTTTCTGCTTATCATGGTAGACTTTTATTGCTCCATCTATTTTGAATGATAGTTTTGCTGGGTAGAGTATCCTGGGGTTGAAGTTATTTTCATTCAGTGCCCGGAAAGTCTCTCTCCAAGCTCTTCTTGTGTTAATGTTTCTGTTGAGAAGTCTGCTGTGATTTTGATGGGTTTACCTTTGTATGTTATTTGTTTTTTCTCTCTTACAGCCTTCAATATTCTTTCCCTAGTTTCTGAGCTTGTTTTAATGATGATATGTCGTGGGGTAGTTCTATTTTGATCTGGTCTGTTTGGTGTTCTGGAGGCCTCTTACATCTGTATGGGAATATCTTTTTCTAGATTTGGGAAAATTTCTGTTATTATTTTGTTGAATATATTTCGCATTCCCTTTGCTTGCACCTCTTCTCCTTCTTCGATGCCCATGATTCTCAAGTTGGGTCTTTTAATGGAGTCAGTGAGTTCTTGCATTTTGTTTTCACAGGTCATAAGTTGTTTAATCAATAGTTCTTTGGTTTTTCCTTTAATTACCATTTTTATCTTCGAGTTGTGAGATTCTGTCTTCTGTTTGTTCTATTCTGCTGGATTGGCCTTCCATTTTGTTTTGCTATTCTGTTTCGTTCTTTTTTCTGAGGTTTTCCGTATCCTGGGTTGTTTCCTCTTTAATGTTTATTTTTGTCCTGAGTTCATTTATCTCTTTATTAATCGTGTTCTCTGTTTCACTTTGGTGTCTATACAGTGTTTCTGTGGTTTCCTTTATTTCTTCTTTTGCTTTTTCAAATTCTCTATTTTTGTTGTATTGGAATTTCTTGAGTGTCTCCTGTACATTTTGGTTGACCCTATGCAGTATCATCTCTATAAAATTCTCATTGATTACCTGTAGGATTCTTCTTTTAGATTATTCTTGTGGGCTTCATTGGGTTCTTTGGCATAGTTTATCTTCATTTTCTTGGAGTCTGGATCTGAGTTTCTGTTTTCTTCATTTCCTTCCGGTTCCTGTACTAATTTTTTGCTGTGGGGAAACTGGTTTCCCTGTTTTTTCTCTCTTCCCGTCATTGTCTTTGGTGTTGTTATTGTCCCTGTACTGTGTGTGGTTAGGTATTTTCTGGCTTGTAAAATAGTACTAGTGATATTTAGAATGGAAGGGTGGGAGGAGATGGAAAGCAAAGAAGTTAAAGGAAAAGGGAAAAACAAATAAGTAGAAAAAAGACAGAACTAAGAAACAAAAAAGTTTCAAAGATATAAACAGGGAGCGTTAGTGTACTAATCAAGAGTAAGCTGAAAAGGCATTAGGCTGGAAGAAGATTTACCAAGCCAATGACCCCCGAAAACATGCAGGAATAGCAATACTTATCTCTGACAAAGTAGACTTCAAACCTACATTGACCAAACGAGATAAAAAAGGACATTCCATTCTAATAAAAGGGGAAATAGACCAAAAGGAAATAACAGTTATCAACCTATATGCACCCAATGTCAACGTACCCAATTTCATCAAACATACCCTGAAAGACCTAAAAGCATGCATTAACTCCAACACAATGGTTGTGGGAGACTTTAACACCCCATTATCATTAATAGATAGGTCATCCAAACAAAAAAATCAATAAATAAATTCAAGATCTAAAATATACAATAGATCAAATGGACCTACTTGATGTCTACAGAACATTTCATCCAACTTCAACACAATATACATTCTTCTCAGCAGCCCATGGAACCTTCTCCAAAATAGATCATATCCTAGGGCACAAAGCAAGCCTCAGCAAATATAAGAAAATAGAAATTACCATGCATACTATCTGATCACAATGCAATAAAATAGAACTCAACAACAAAAGTAAAGACAAAAACATGCAAACAGCTGGAAACTAATAACTCATTACTTAATGAAGAATGGATCATGATGAAATAAAAGAGGAAATTAAAAAGTTCCTGGAAGTCAATGAAAATGAAAACACAACCTACCGGAACCTATGGGACACAGCAAAGGCAGTCCTGAGAGGAAAGTTTATAGCCATGAGTGCATATATTAAAAAGACTGAAAGATCCCAAATCAATGACCTAATGATACATCTCAAACTCCTAGAAAAACAAGAAAGCAAATCCCAAAACAAATAGAAGGAGAGAAATAATAAAAATAAGAGCTGAAATCAATGAAATAGAAACCAAAAAAACCATACAAAGAATTAATGAAACAAAAAGTTGGTTCTTTGAAAAAAAAACAAGATCGATAGACCCCTGGCAAACCTGACTAAAATGAGGAGAGAAAAAACCCAAATTAGTAGAATCAGGAATGCAAAAGGGGAGATAACAACAAACACCATGGAAGTCCAGGAAATCATCAGAGACTACTTTGAGAACCTATATTCAAATAAATTTGAAAATCTTAAAGAAATGGACAGATTTCTAGATACATATGATCATCCAAAACTGAACCAAGAGGAAATTAATCACCTGAATAGATCTATAACACAAAATGAAATTGAAGCAGCAATCAAGAGTCTCCCCAAAAAGAAAAGTCCAGGACCTGATGGATTCTCTGCTGAATTCTATCAGACCTTTAAAGAAGAACTGATACCAACCCTCCTTAAACTGTTCCATGAAATAGAAAGGGAAGGAAAACTGCCAAACACATTTTATGAAGCCAGTATTACACTTATCCCAAAACCAGGCAAAGACACCTCCAAAAAGGAGAACTATAGGCCAATCTCCTTAATGAACAATGATGCAAAAATCCTCAACAAAATGGCAAACCGAATTCAACAAGACATCAAAAAGATTATTCACCATGACCACGAAGGCTTCATCCCAGGGATGCAGGGGTGGTTCAACATACGAAAATCAATAAACGTAATAAACCACATTAACAGAAGCAAAGACAAAAACCACTTGGTCATCTCAATAGATGCAGAAAAAGCCTTTGATAAGATCCAACACCATTTCATGATAAAAGCTCTAAGAAAACTAGGAATAGAAGGAAAGTACCTCAACATTATAAAAGCTATATATGACAAACCTACAGCCAGCATTATACTTAACGGAGAAAAACTGAAACCATTCCCTCTAAAATCAGGAACCAGACAAGGATGCCCACTATCTCCACTCCTATTCAACATAGTACTGGAATTCCTAGCCAGAGCAATTAGGCAAGAAGAAGGAATAAAAGGAATACAAATAGGTAAAGAAACTGTCAAAATATCCCTATTTGCAGATGACATGATCCTATACCTTAAAGACCCAAAAAACTCTACTCAGAAGCTTCTAGACACATCAATAGCTATAGCAAGGTAGCAGGATATAAAATCAACATAGAAAAATCATTAGCATTTCTATACACTAAAATGAACAAACTGAAAAGAATATATGAAAACAATTCCATTTACAATAGCCTCAAAAAAAATCAAATACCTAGGTGTAAACCTAACAAAGATGTGAAAGACCTCTACAAGGAAAACTATAACTTCTGAAGAAAGAGATTGAGGAAGACTATAGAAAGTGGAGAGATCTCCCATGCTCATGGATTGGTAGAATCAACATAGTAAAAATGTCTATACTCCCAAAAGTAATCTACATGTTTAATGCAATTCCCATCAAAATTCCAATGACATTCATTAAAGAGATTGAAAAATCTACTGTAAATTTATATGGAAACACAAGAGGCCACGAATAGCCAAGGCAATACTCAGTCAAAAAACAATGCGGAGGTATCACAATACCTGACTTCAAACTATATTACAAAGCAATAACAATAAAAACAGCATGGTACTGGCACAAAAACAGACATGAAGACCAGTGGAACAGAATAGAGGACCCAGATATGAAGCCACACAACTATAACCAACTTGTCTTTGACAAAGGAGCTAAAATATACGATGGAGAAATAGCAGCCTCTTCAACAAAAACTGCTGGGAAAACTGGTTAGCAGTCTGCAAAAAACTGAAACTAGATCCATGTATATCACCCTATACCAATATTAACTCAAAATGGATCAAGGATCTTAATATCAGACCCAAACTCTAAGTTGATACAGGAAAGAGTAGGAAATACTCTGGAGTTAGTAGGTATAGG